CTCACACCAGGTACATGTCCTCTCATGGGGCTCTGAGCAGTACATTGTACCCTGCTGAGATGGGACCAGAAAAACTAGAAATGAAGTGACTGAGGTGAAAAGAAAAGAGCAGATTAAGTAAATGAAACGCTTAAATGTTTGGGCTTTTCAGTCATTAGGAGATGTGTTGTTTAGACAGATGTTTCCTGTTGTAAAACAGCAAATCAAAATAAGCTTCTCTTCTGTGTCCATTCCTAGAGTTTCGGCCTGGTGAGCCATGGAAAGGTTATCCAAACATCGACCCTGAAACTGACCCTTACGTCACTCCTGGCAGTGTCATAAACAATCTGTCAATTAATACTGTGCGGGAAGTTGACCACCTCAGGGACAGGAACAGTGGTAGGTTCAGTGCTGCCTCCTCTTCCTTCGGGCTCAGAGAGGGACTGTTTACTGGAGATGGGTTTGCTGCTTGCTCGTCTCCTTGTTTATCTTCTGTAGTGTGGATTTTGGGGCTGAGAAGCTCATCTTTGGCTCAAGCACTGCTATTTGATGCAATGCACCAGACACTCCAAGAATGTGGGCAGTGAGTGGACGCTGCTGATGTGTAATCAGCAATTTGTCATTAATTAAATGTGCGATTCTGATGTAATCTTGCACAGAGAGGCTGTGGGGTTGGAAGTAGGCGAGCAAAGCTTGGCAGTCCAGCTACTGCAGTAACGACAGGCTCTGCTTGCAGAGTGCTGCTGAGCGTGCCTGTCACCACAGCCTTTGGGTGCAGGATGGGGACTGAGCAGTGGAGGAGGCTCCTTGTCTGCCTGCAGACGTGTTCAGTCTGGAGTACAAGTCATGCCTTGTAAGTATTGCACTGGTGATGGACTGTAGTGTGACTGGCTTCCCTCTTTTCTGTAGGGTCATCCTCATCTTTGAACACCACGCTGCCTTCAACTAGTGCCTGGTCATCCATTCGTGCCTCCAACTACAATGTTTCCCTCAGCAGTACAGCACAAAGCACTTCAGGTGACGTCTGCTTATGTTGCTCTTAGCTGGTGTTTCTTCCCCTTCATGTGCCTCAGGGGGACGCTGAATGTTAATAAGAAGTAGTCCTGAGGTCTCATCTCAGCAGTAATTTCATTCGTTTCCAAAGTAGTTATTTTGACTTTTGTTAGTAGCAGGGTGGTGGTTCCAGCAGTGTTGTGATTGTGGTTGTCTTCATTTATCTTTTAGTAGCCAGAAACAGTGATTCCAAATCAACATGGTCTCCTGGATCAGTCACTAACACCTCTCTGGCTCATGAGCTGTGGAAGGTCCCTTTGCCACCTAAAAGCATCACTGCTCCGTCCCGCCCGCCTCCAGGGCTAACAGGCCAGAAACCACCGTTGTCCACTTGGGATAATTCCCTTCGCCTGGGTGGAGGATGGGGAAGTTCTGATGCCCGATACACCCCTGGTAAGGGCATCTTTTTGCACGTGAGGGCTTTCTGGTTTGTTACCAAGGCAGGGAGTGTCCTGGGCATTTGGCTGGGTAATGTCACTGCTAGCTAACATCTGTACCATTTGTCTTGCCAAAAGCTGAAGCTGGGGTGTGTGTTCTGAGCTGCATTGCCGCAGACTTCCTACCACATGAAACAGGGGGAAGGGCTGGGTGTCATACACAGCAGGAGTGTGGATGGCACCAACTCCTGTCCTTAGCATGAGCCATCTCTCTGAGCGCTTCCTGAGCTTGACATCTGTGCAGCTGAATGCAGTTGCCCATTAAGCGTTTTTCTCAGTGGCTCATACCGTACTGAATTAGCTCATGAGAGCACAGGGAGGCTTCAGACAGGCTTCAGAACGGCTCTGAGCTTGCAGCAGGAGTCTAAACAAATATATTTGCATTTTTGCTGCAATTATGATTATCTGACAACAGTGTAGCTACTTAGGACTGTATTTACATCATCAAAACACTTTAGAAAGTAAATAAAATGAGTAGATACAGATGTTAAGTCCTATAGCATCCAGAGTAGCTTTTGCATGGTTTTAAGTCTGGAAGAGATTACTACTGTGTGAGTTTGTCTGATTCATGAATGCTCCTGTGGCTGCCGTGCAGTTCCTTATGCTCCTCCTGTACCTGGTGTTCAGCGTGGCAGGGCTCTGACCCCTTTCTTTTCCCTCATTCAGGTTCAAGCTGGGGTGAGAGCAGCTCAGGGAGAATAACAAATTGGCTTGTTCTAAAAAACCTTACACCTCAGGTAAGCGTGGCACCTCAGGGGTGGGCAGCTCTGCCTCGAGTGGGAGCTCCCTGCAGGCTGATCTCACGTTCTGCCTTTGTTCCACCCCCAGATCGATGGCTCAACCCTGCGTACTCTGTGCATGCAGCACGGTCCACTAATAACATTCCACCTTAACCTCCCACATGGTAATGCTTTGGTCCGTTACAGTTCAAAAGAAGAGGTAGTGAAGGCACAAAAATCTCTGCACATGTAAGTTGATTTTCATTCTTCAGGCTAAGTTTTAAGCAGCTCTAAGTGTTTTATTGGGGTTTGAATGCTTTCTGTATGCAGGGGTGCAAGGATTCTCAGTGCCAGCTTAGCATCCAACAGGCTTATGCCGAGGGGGTTGGAGCTGTTGGCGCAGAGGTGAAGGGAAAGGACTTTGGTGCCTCTGTTTAAAACATGCTCTTCTCATCCTCCTGCAGGTGTGTATTAGGGAACACTACTATTCTTGCTGAGTTTGCCAGTGAAGAGGAGATTAGTCGCTTCTTTGCACAAGGCCAGTCTCTGACTCCGTCTCCTGGCTGGCAATCTCTGGGATCCAGCCAGAACCGACTTGGATCCATTGACGGTTCCCATTCGTTCTCAAACCGTAATGATCTAAATCACTGGAATGGTGCTGGGCTGTCGGGAACTAGCAGTGGAGACCTTCATGGCACTTCACTTTGGGGGAGCCCCAACTATTCCACGAGCCTGTGGGGCACCCCGAGCAGCAATGACACCAGGGGAATTAGCAGCCCGTCCCCCATCAACGCTTTCCTTTCTGTTGACCACCTAGGTGGAGGTGGAGAGTCCATGTAACCTTTTACTTTTTTCAACTAATAAACTGTGACCTCAAGATGTAACAAAGCAGCACTAATTTGGACTTTTCACCTACAGCAAGGGGGTCACCTGTGGAAACAGTTACTTTCTGCACATTTTCCACTTTGTTTTAGCCCAAAACATATCAGTTTGAATACTTGAATCATGCAGGCCAATATTATAATGTGAAAAAGTATATATTTACACTTCCAGATAGTGCTATCCATATAAAACTGCTTGGAATGAGCTCATTGTGTATATTCATCATGTTTATTCTTTGAATTCCATATTTTTTTTCCTTTTTCCTTTGATTTTGTTGCATTTTGCTGATGTTGGAGTATGAGCTTTTTTAACTTTGCACTGAATGATGTTCTCTCTGTCCAATCGGCAATATCGGGGAGGCAGCAGTTCACGTGTAAATGTTTACTCAAGGATGTTCTTACAAACAGTGTGCGCTCTCTACTATGCCTTGATGTATGCCTACCTTCTCGTGGTGTCGTGGCGTTTCAAGATCAAGTGATGATACTGACTTAGGACGATGAATGAAAAGTATTGCACCAGTTTTTTCATGTATAAAACTAAAGAATTTAGCTCTACAGTTTGAAAAACTGTGGCCACAGCTGTGACTTGCAACCCAGCCTGCAAGCCAGGGGGGTCCTGCACTTTCAATAGGCTTTCAATTTTGTTTTGGGGGTGCCCGTGTCGGGACCTTCTTGTTTACAGAATAGTTCTTTCTTCTTTCTTCTTCTTCTTTTTTTTTTGTTTTTTTGAGGAAAAATGTTTACTCTTCCATCATTTTAAAAATTTTTAAAAAGACAAAAAAAAAAAAAAAACCTAAAAATTGAGAATGAAAAAGATGCTTTCTATCTCTGGGAATAACGAACAGTGTTTGGCCATGTCCTTTTGTTTTCTATTCCTGTCTCCTAAATCAAAGAGCATGGCTCTCAGGAAAACCAGTTCCCCAGGAAAAACTCCTTGTAGTTTCTTATAGGAAAAATAAAATAAAAAATAAAAACTCAACTTTTAGCACTGATGAATCCTTATTGCTCTGTAAGACTTTTCTCTGCCAAAAAAAACACTTGCTTCGAGCTGGAGTTTGACATAACTGCTTTCCGACGCTGTCCTTTTCTTAGTGAGTGGTGGTGGTTTGCTAATACTCTGTAGTTAAACAGGTTTTGTAATCCCATCGAGTGGCTGTTCCTGCTCTTGTGACTGTGTTAACGTTTAACTGTCGTACCTTAAAGCCGAACTGAGTAACTATGCATATCCTGTAACCAAGTTCTTGGGCTTACAGATTTGTTTGTTGTATAAAGGTTTTAAATGTTTAACAAGAAGTTCTCGCAGATACTTCCTCGCAAAAGTGACGAGTTCCATCCCTCCCTGCCACAAAAGCTGTTCCGAGATGCTTGTTTAGTCCATGAATTCCAGACTAGGCAAGGGTAAAACTTTTAACAGTGCAGAAATCGCCATCATTTCATTGCCTTGATTCTAACTGTTTGTGTCCGAAGATGCAAAAGAAGTCAGTGGCTTTTAACTGTTTACAAATAGAATGTGATTGTAAAATGTACAGTTTGGTTGTGTTTGAATTATGAAGTTTCTCCAGATATTAATAAATCATGATGTTTTTGGCTGCTCAGCATATAACTGTCTATTTTTTGTGACTTTATTTGTAGGCTGTTTTCTATACAGTGACAATAGGGAAAGATCTGACCATAGCTCTGTATTCCCATAGCTTCCGTTCTTTTTTCTTTTAGCAACCTGATTTTTTTAAGGAGAGATCTGCATTTTATTCTAGCAAAAGCCTCCCTCACCGTGCCCGCTATGGGATGAGGATGTCAGTGTAGAAACCCGCAGCTTGCTTTTCCTTTTCTATTCGAGCACCTTTGGGATCCCGTTGCCCTCCTCCTCCGCGTACTCCAACCGGCCCCACCATTTGTGCCCAGCTAGAGATGCTCAAGAGGACACTTGCAAATAAAGGAGAGCATTTTGGAAAATAAACTTTAATGCTTAAAACGTCCTGGTGTTTATACCTCATTTACATGAATCATGACGAACAATGCAGCAGCGCTTAATTTGTCTCTCACTCTTCACAGTGGCTTAGCTTGTTCTGGAGCGGCTGTAGGGCAGACCCTGTATGTACATAGTGATGTGACTTCAGAATCTGTTAGACTTTCCACTTGCCGGATGTAAGTCATTATCTCTGTTGGATGCCAGCATTCTGTGGTACCAGACACTTCTCTGTAACTACTTACGCTGCAATGCGCTGTCCCAGGGCAAAGCTGGCTGCTGGAGTCTGGTCCAGAGGCTTGGGGGCCTCTGCCTCGGGTGGAACTGACATCGCCCCGCGTCGATTGTATTGTCCAAGTGTTTGAAATCCCTTCACTGAGCTCGTTAACGTGGAAATAAAATGTGGTTGGTTCCAAAAGCTGAACCTTGTGGCCTCTCTCTTGGGCTGTGGGTGTCAGGCCGTCCAGCTCCGCTCCAGGTTCACCAGCTCCATCCCCTCGCAGTACGAATGGGGCCGTCGGGCTTTGTGCTGTGGAGAGAGACAGTATTCCCCATGGAGCATCCCTCTAAGGCAGCCCCAGGGCTCTGCACCCCTGCACAGGGATGGAGTGGGCACAGCCCTGCAACACTCCCCCATGGACCACCCACTGCCAGGGCCCCTGTGCTCACCGGCCGCTGCCTGGAAAGCTGATGGAGAAGGGGAAAGGGCGTCCACTGGAGGGGCTCCATGGGCCAGCTCGACACGGAGATGTCGCTGGCTTTGCCCGAGTCCACCATGGGCTCGTTGATGCTGCCGGAGCTCGTGTCCCACTCGTAATGGAAACTGGGGGGAAGAAAACCCAAAGTAATGAATAGAAGGGGACGGGGGGGGGGACGGGGGGGGTACACCCAAGGCTGTGCTGAGGGAGCAGGACCCTGATCACGGCTCCTGTGGGGCTGTGAGCCCCGCACCGGGCCGTGGGGCTGCGGGGTGCCCCTGGGCTGGCCCAGCCCTGAGCCCCCGGGAGCTCGCAGGGCCCGAGCTGACTGCATCGCGCTTCCTGCAGACGGGAGCCCTCCTCCGGCCCCACCGCTCGCGGCTCCTGCACGGCAGCGGGGCGGGAACCGCTCCTTACCCCCCCCCCCGAGGATGCTGCGGGGTTGGAGCTCCCGTTGAAGCCCTGCTCCCCCCTCACCTGGCCCGGGCCGGCGCTGGGCGCTGCTTGGCGGCGGTGCCCGAGTCCTCCCGGCAGCCGCAGCAGCCGCGGTCCAGGGCCTGGAGGTGGAGCAGCTCCTCCGAGGGGCTGAAGGCGGGGTTGTCCAGGGAGCTGGCCGAGGGCAGCCGGGACCGCGACCAGTACTGGGCAGAGAGATCGTCCAGGCGGCAGAAGCGCCGGTAGCTGCGGGCACAGCGACGTGCACGCGTGTACGTACACACACACGTACATGTACACACGTACACATACATGCACACACACACATGTACATGTACACACGGACACACGTACATGTACACACACACACACGTACATGTACACACCTACACACGTACATGTACACACCTACACACGTACATGCACACACAGACATATATGCACACATACGTACATGCACACATGTACACATATACACATACTTGCACACATACACACATACATGCACACATACACATGGACATGCACACACAGGCACATATATGCACACATACGTACATGCACACACATACACACATACACATACACATGTACATGCACACACAGACACATACATGCACACACGTACACATACACATGTACATGCACACACAGACACATATATGCACACATACGTGCACACATGTACACACACATACACATGTACATGCACACATACACATGCACATGCACACATATACACATACATGCACACATACACATATATGCACATGTACATACATGCACACACGTACACATATGCACATACATGCACACATATACACATACATGCACACATACACGTGCACACATATACATGTGCATACACACACACATGCACATATACACGTCCATGCACACATATACACACACATGCACACAGACACATGTCCATGCACACATATACACATACATGCACACATACATATATGCACACATGTATACGTATATGCACACACACATGCACACATATACACATACATCCAAGCATACACACATGCACACATATACACATACATGCACATGTAGACACATACATGCACACATATACACGTACATGCACACATAAACACATACATGCACATGTACACATGTCCACACACACATATACATATACATGCACACACAGACACATACATGCACACATATACATGTACATGCACACATAAACACGTGCATGCATACATACACACATACATGCACACGTACACACGTGCATGCACACATACACACATCCATAGAATCATAGAATAGTTCGGGTTGGAAAGGACCTTAAGATCATTCAGTTCCAATCCTCTGGCCATGGGCAGGGACACCTCCCACTAAACCATGGCACCCAAGGCCTCGTCCAGCCTGGCCTTGAACACTGCCAGGGATGGAGCATTCACAACTTCCTTGGGCACCCATTCCAGTGCCTCAGCACTCTCACAGTAAAGAACTTCCTCCTTAGATCCAATCTAAACTTCCCCTGTTTCAGTTTGAACCCATCACCCCTTCTCCTATCACTACAGTCCCTAATGAAGAGTCCCTCCCCAGCATCCCTATAGGCCCCCTTCAGGTACTGGAAGGCTGCTCTGAGGTCTCCCCGCAGCCTTCTCTTCTCCAGGCTGAACAGCCCCAACTTTCTCAGCCTCTCTCCATACAGGAGCTGCTCCAGCCCCTGAGCATCCTCGTGGCCCTTTTCTCCACTTGTTCCAACAGCTCCCTGTCTTTTTTGCATTGAGGACACCAGAGCTGCACACACTGCTCCAAGGGAGGTCTCACGAGAGCAGAGCAGAGGGGCAGGATCACACATACATGCACACATACACACATACATACATGCACACATACATGCACACAAACACATGTAGATGCACACACACATGCACTCACACATATGTACAGGCACACATATACACAAACACACGCACATATACACATGCATACACATGCACACATACACTCATTCATGCACATGCACACACACAGACATATACACATGTGCCCATGGGCACACAGGACCCCAGTGACCGCACTGGGAGCACAGAGCACAGGTTTCCCCCCAGCTGCCGCAGCCCAGGGCAGGACCCAGCCCCGCACCCGGGTGTGGATGGGGCCCGTGCAGTGCTCAACATCTGGCTGCAGCCCCACAGCTGCCGGGTGGTTCCTCAGAGCAATCCCTGCGGTGCGTTACGAACCGGGGAGGGCAGCGGGGCCAGGACAGGGGCTGAGCCCTGCTCCCTCCATGGCCGGTGAGGGATGGGGGCCCTGGGGCTCAGCAGCAGGGCTCCTGCATCTCCATCAGGGTGTGAGTGCAGGGCACAGCCTGCAGCACTGCAGCCACCACCCACCCAGCCCTGCAGCCCCTGGCTCCCCATTCCTGCCTCCACGCTGCATGGGGAGCATCCCTGGCACCCGCACCGCTGGCACTGCCACCCGCACCCAGCCTGGTGGCACCCTCCATGGCCACCCCAGACCCCATCCCTCTCACCCCACCTGCTGCGGGTCTGGTCAGCCCTGGCCTCCATCAGCAGCACTTTGAACCTGTGCACGGCGACAGCGGCGATGACGGCGCCCAGGAGGAGGATGCTGAGCAGGACCCCCGCAGCCATGCCCAGCAGGCCCTGCTGCGTCACCCGGTGATCGCAGCGCAGCCCCATGAACCAGAAGTCGCTGCCCACGGGGCACCTGCACCAAGAGGGGGTCAGGGCCGGGGAGGGGGCAGCACCATCACCCCCAGCATGATCCCAGGGGCACTCACTGGCAGAGGGGGCCGCGGTCCCGCGGGTGGGTGCAGATGCCGTGGTTCTTGCAGTAGTGGCGGTGGCAGAGGGACGTGCACGTGGCGTTCCCATCCGCACCGGGCACGCAGGCGAAGCCCGGCTGGCACATGAACAGCGCAGCGCAGGGATCCGGCTCTGCAGGAGCAGGGTCTGACCATGGCAGCACGGAGCCAGGCCAGGCCCGAGCCCGCCCCGCAGCCCCTGCACTCACCCAGAGCCCTGTGGCGCAGGATGGACGTGGTGCCCATCGCCAGCCCTGGCCGGGCGCTGCCGGAGCCCAGCGCGGTGCTGAGCATCGCACCCAGCCCTGGCACCCGCACGCGCTCCGCCGTGAACAGCGCCTCGTACTCCAGCACCACGGTGCCCTCCCTGCGGGGAGCCCAGCGCGATGCATGGGGTCATCCCCAGCGCATCCCACCAGCGCCAGGGCACCGTGTGCCTGTGCCCCATGGCAGGGGCTGCACCGGCACGCACCTGACCCGCGTCACCTCCAGCCGCAGGAAGCCGGGCAGGGGCGCGAAGAGCGGCGTGACCTGTGCGGGAGCATTGAGCGCGGGGCAGGAGCACTGAGCACAGGGCAGGAGCACCGAGCACAGGGCAGGGCAGCCCCAGTGCGGGGCAGGAGCACCGAGCACAGGGCAGGGCAGCCCCAGTGCGGGGCAGGAGCACCGAGCACAGGGCAGGGCAGCCCCAGTGCGGGGCAGGAGCACTGAGCACAGGGCAGGGCAGCCCCAGTGCGGGGCAGGAGCACCGAGCACAGGGCAGGGCAGCCCCAGTGCGGGGCAGGAGCACCGAGCACAGGGCAGGGCAGCCCCAGTGCGGGGCAGGAGCACTGAGCACAGGGCAGGGCAGCCCCAGTGCGGGGCAGGAGCACCGAGCACAGGGCAGGGCAGCCCCAGTGCGGGGCAGGAGCACCGAGCACAGGGCAGGGCAGCCCCAGCGCAGGGCAGGAGCACCGAGCACAGGGCAGGGCAGCCCCGTGGCCCCGTCCCGCTCTCACCGTCCGGTTGAAGCCGTGCAGCAGCGCCCGGTGCTCACGGGAAGTGGGGTCCTGCAGCGCGGGGCTGAACCCCATGTCCAGCACCAGCTCACAGGGGACGCGCAGGACAGAGGCTGCGGGAGGGGAGATGGGGACAGGGTGACACGGACCCGCTCCTCCTCCCGTGCCCCTGTGCGGGGTCCAGTCCCAGACCCACCTCTGAGCAGTGGCCGCTGATCCTCCACAATGAACACTCGGGGGGCTCTGTCCGTCGCAGCCGGTGGCGCTCGGGGGGTGTCAGCACCCGGATGTCCTCTGGGGTCACTCGATGGCTGGACCAGGTCTGGGTCTCCTGCAGCTGGGGGGGACCCGGGGCCCCCACTGTGGCCCAGGGAATCGCTGGGCTGCTGCGGGGGCCCTGGCGTCATGGTGGGCAGATGAGTCACCCCCACCGCATCCCTCTGCAGCACAGCAGCGCTGGGCTCTGGGGTGATGGTCCCCGCAGCACTGGGCAGTGCTGGGCTGGCAGTGGTGGTGGTTGTGGTGGTGATGGTGACGGTGGTGGTGGTGATGCCGATAGCAGAGGTTGGTCCCAGGGAAGTCTCAGGCTGGGATGGAGCCAGTGCCTGCATGGTCCCAGGGGCTGAGGGGGGGTCCAGGCTGCCCGGCTCCCAGCTCAGGGGTGCAGTCACTGCCCAGAGCCTGGCATCGGCCCCCTCCACCGGGTCCCGCCCCAGGATCCGGGTTCTCCCCGTAGCATCCCCACCAAAGCTGGCATGGGGCAGCCGGAGCCCTGGGGCTGTGGGGGTGCCAGCAGTGGGGCTGAGCCCCAGGACACCCCAGCGGGTCCCTGGGGAGGGCAGCGGGGTTGTGGGCACCTCAGGGCCGCCGGCTGGGGCAGGCGATGGGGCTGGGGGTGCTCGGGGGAGAGCCGGGCTGCCCGGGGCCATGGGAGTGAGGGGCAGCCCCGGGGGCCGGGGCTGGTGCAGGGGGACGTGGCCGTGCCCAGCGGCACCCTCCGTGCCGGGTGCTCCTGAGGGCGCTGCGGTCGGGCCCAGGGGTCCCTCTGGGCAGGGCGATGCCGCCCCTGGGGTGCCGGGGCCGGGCAGAGCGGGCTCTGTGCCTGCAGCGGGCAGCGAGGCCGGGCCCGTCCCCGCGGCTGCTCCGGACACGGGGCCGTCAGCGCCCAGGGCCGGCAGAGAGGGGCGCGGGGCGGCGCCGGGACCCTGCCGTGAGAGCTCCATCACTGGCGGCGGGTGGGAGGCAGAGCCCCGGCCCCCGGCCGGCCCCGGTGTCCCGGTGGGGGTCAGCAGCCTCTGCGGTCCCCCCGCGAACGGCGATGTCCCGGCTGCCCCCGGCTCTGGGCTGCCGGTGGCCCCCGCGGGGCTCGGCCGGGGCCCGGGGTCACCCAGCGGGGCGGTGGCCCCCGCGCCCTCCGCCATCACCAGCTCAGGGGGTGAGGGCCCGTGTGAGCCCCGCTGGCTCTGCACGGGGGCTGTGCCCGTGGGGCTCCATCCCGGCAGGGGCCCGGGGGACCCCCCCTGCCCCTGGGCAGAGCTGGGCACCACTGCGGGGGACGCTGAACGCGCGGCGCTGGCACCTTCAGACACGGCGCTGCCCTCAGGGTGAGGCCCGGGGGGGTGCCCGGGGGCAGGAGCCGCGTTGGGCTCCTCAGCTCCCGGGGCCCCTGCACTGCTCCCCCCTGGGCTCTCGCTGCCCGCAGGGAGCCGGGGAGCGGCTGCTCCGTCCCTGCCTGCCCAGGGGCCTGAGGGGCTCCGCTGGGGGCCGGGGGTCTCGGCAGCCCCGGTGGGGGTCCCAGAGAACGGCAGCAGCTCAGCCCCCGTCCGCAGCCGCCCCACGGCCTCCGGTGTCGGTGCCTGCCCCACGTCAGCTCCGAGCTCCGGATCTATGGGCAGAGGCAAAAGTGGGGGGACACTGGGCAGGGCAGCGCCCCACAGCCCCCAGCTCGGCATCAACAACCATGGGCAGCGCACGGTGCTACAGACCAAGGGCTCACGGTACCTGTGGGGCAGCGCTCCCCCGTCGCGGTGCCCGGGTGGGTGCAGGAGGCGGCAGTGACGGGTGCGGGGCCCATCTCGGTGCTCAGACAGGGGCAGAGCCGTGCACAGCATCCCACGATCACTGAGGACAGAGGGGAAGGAGCGGTGAGCAGCGGTGCCGGGCATGGGTAATGAGCACCGGGCCCAGGAGCTGCAGGTGTGGGCAGGGGGCTCCGAGCCCCGCTCCGTACCCGCGGGCACAGGTGAAGGGGATGCTCCAGAAGAGCCCAATCCCAGCTGGAAGCCCCCGCCCTCATCTCAAGGACCCAAACCGGGTCCTCCCGCACCGGCCCCGCTGCCCCGACCCACCCCAGAGCCGAGCCCCCACGTGCCGGTGAGGGCCGGGGCCAGGGCAGGCGCTGCCCGGGCCGGGCGCTGGGGCTGGGGTCACCCTGAGCCCCCGGCACCGCCTCGCCGGGGCTCCCGCACCCCGGGTGTCACCGCTGCCCGCCGGCACCCCCGCATCAGCCCCCCCGGTGCCGCCCCGGTGCCGCCGCGGGGCTCAGACCCCCCCGAGCCGCTGCCTGTACCGGCCCCGCCGCGCACCCCGCAGCCGCGGCATCCCCCCCCCCCAGGAACCCTGCGCTCACCTGCGGCGGCCAAGAGCGGCGGGAGCCGGAGCCGGAGCGGGAGTCGAAGCCGCTCCATGGCGCTGCCGAGGCGGCCGCAGGAAGCCCCCGCCCGTCCCCGCTGCGGAGGGGCGGAGGCGCCGGCAGCCGCAGCCCCCGGCCCGGGCCCGCCCCACCGCCCCCGCCCGGCTCCGTGCGCGGGTCCCGCCGGGACCGGCCCTGGGGGGGCTGTGACCGCGGGAGCTGCCCCGGGGCAAAGGCTCCTGAAGGTACCGAGGGCTTCAGAGCCCTTCCCTGTGAGGGTGCTGAGGCGCTGGCACAGGGTGCCCAGAGAAGCTGTGGCTGCCCCATCCCTGGCAGTGTTCAAGGCCAGGTTGGACACAGGGGCTTGGAGCAAGCTGCTCCAGTGGAAGGGGTCCCTGCCTGTGGCAGAGGTTGGAGCTGGAGGAGCTTTAAGGTCCCTTCCACACAAACCAGTCTCGGATTCCATGAATCACCCAGGGCACCACCACCAACAGAACCAGCACCACTCACCTACCTGGGCACAAAGGGATGGCTCCGCAGCCACCATCACTCCCATCTCCAAGCAGGCACTGGGGAAAACCACCATGGACGTGGTGTCCAAAACTGCCCCCGACTCTGGCCACAGCCTGCTCAGGAGAGGCGTCAGGATGCGTTTGGGTGAAGGAGCAATGGAGCAGCCTCGCACACAATGAAAGCGAAACCCTTTGGCTGAGGTCCCTCGGCCGGGTGAGGAAGCGGGGAACACCCGGGGCACGCTCAGGCCCCACGTGCAGTGGCCACGGGCCCACGTCCCGCCCTGCGCCCCCTCCGTGGCCAAGGCACTGAGCACCAGCAGTGCTCACTTGGCTGCAGTGCCTCTGACACATCCCAGGGCTTCTTGGCACAGGGGGAGAATTGAGCACGGTCCAGAAATAACTTGTTCTGCCTCGGGAGAGGCTTAAAGCGAGCGGCCCGTGCCGGGCTCACAGGGACACGGGTGGGATTGTGTTGTTGAGCAGCAGGAAACCCCTCTCCCCTTTATCCTCCATCAAACACAACTTGTTTTTACCGGGATGAACTGAACTGAACTGCACAGGCAGCAGGTGAGTTAGTGGGAAGAGCTCACAACGTTAGCAGTGAGTCCCAGAGCTCTGCACCATGGCACAAGCCCCTTCCACACACACATAAACAGCACAAGCTCTTTGGGAGAAAGGGTCAGAGCCTGTCTGAGCCTCAAGTGCTCCCCAGTGCTCAGCTGATGGTGCCTTCACCCCCTAACACACCCACAGATGTCCCTCAGGCACCACTACCCAGTGAGCGCAGTGGCAGGGTGGGATGGCAACGCCAGCAACACTCCCCTGGTCTTGTGCATTTATTCCTTTTTTGTCCTCGTTTTTAAAGGATCACAGATTGAGACACATTTAAATACAACGTCCAAGTACAAGGTTCCGGTGAAAGCAGCAGCAGCATGGCCTGTGCGTGCACGCTCCTGTGCTGCCCCCAGCCCGCTCCTGGCCATGAGACAGCTCCTGGGGAAGGAACACAAATCCATGTATTCAGTATTCCACCAGGGAAGCCCCAGTGGTTTCAGGCACAAGAGCAGGGGGTCAGGCAGAGCCCACTCAAGCTGGACACCAGAAGCAAGCTGTGAGCCCACAGGGCTTTCGAATGGCTGGGATCAAGCCTTGGCTCCAAGGGAAGGGGCTCAGACTCCTGCAGAGAGGAGCTGATCCAGAGGGAGCCGCAGGACCAGCAGGAAGGTGGCCCCATCTGCTGCCACGCTGGCCCCTGGCCAGCAGCTCATTTCCCCTCACTTCCCCGGCAGCACCTCAGGGCAGGGGCTCCACTCACCCCTTCCTGCCCGTTTCCTTCCCAGCAGGAAATGCTGGGAGCTGCCACAGAGTGTCTGGAGGTGCCCCCCTTTCCCCCCCCCCCATTAAACCCATGGACTTCCACAACCAGAGTTAAACCCATCGACAGAAAGAGCTGTGGTAATCGAGTGCTTCACGTGCCCCACAACTCTCCACACCCTCTCTCCAGCAGCAGACACCGCAGGGAAACCACCTCTGCCTTCCCCTGCCAGCTCCCTCCTAGCCCCTGCTTGCCCCATGGCCCTGCAGTGCTGTGCCCTCACAGGTGTCACACACTGCCCTGTGCCCACTGCTGCTCCCCAAGACACTCACAGGAGCACGATTCCACTTACTCAGCTCTGGAGAACTGGTTTTACTCATAAACATCCTTCTTATCTGCAATGTAATCTACAATCTCCTGTGGACACATTAACTTCTCGGCGTCTCCATCGGGAATTTCAAATCCTGGAAAGAAAGAGCACATACTTAACCGGGATCAGCGGAAGCAGGAGCAAGGCTAAAGGAAGCCGGGACAGCGCGGCCAGGGACACACAGCAGGGCCAGAGCCAGCACAGGGCTGGGATTCCCACTGAGCTTTGCCCTGCTCAGCACCACTGCTAGGGCAGGGAGAGGATGAGGAGGCAGCGAGTGCCCCTCACACCTCGCTGGAGCCACCCCCACCTTCACCAGAGGGGGATGCTCAAGGTAACAATGGGCAAATTGGTCAGAGTCTGCTGCCGAGTGCCCCAACAGCCACCAGCTCATGCAGGGCCACAGCTGGGGAGAGGGAGCACAAGGGCTCAGAACCACTCAGAAACACATCCCATGAAAAGCACCTTCTCTTCCCAGCCCTCACTGCCACGGCACCCAATGGCACCCAAGGGAATTTAACACAGCATCAGCAACTGCTCTGGAAGCAAAACGTGTGCCCAGGTTTAGAGAACAACCAAACCCCAGGATGTCTGTGACCCGGTGTGACAAATTAAGCAGAATGGCTGAGCTTTACATGAAAGCATAAAGAAGTCTAAAATGAAGTGAAAAGCAACTTGGAATATACACTGATAAGGCAAAAATCACCTTTTTTCCCCAGTAACATCACGTACTGAGAGTAAAAACCCAACCTGGTGAGGAAAACCTGGGATCAGCTGTGATTTCCCAGGGGGAGCCAAGACCGGCTCCCGGATCAGCCCTTGTGCTGTCCCCTCCCCATGCCCAGCAATGCGGGGAAGGTGCCCAGGGGCTGTGGGGAGAACTACAGCTCAGCAGCAGATGGACAGATGGGGAGACACCTCCCCTGAGTGCTGCTGGTGCCCCCAGTGACCAGCTCCCATCCTGACCCAGAACCACTCCATTTCCTCTGAGTTACAGCACGGAAAAGCCACGGCTCCTGCCCGCAGAGGAGCAGCAGTGCCTGTGTGCTGCAGCTGCACCAAGGCATCAGCCATAAGCCCCGTGTGCCCAGCTCGGACTTACCGAACTCGTCCTCCATGGCCATGATGATCTCCACTTGGTCCAAGCTGTCCAAGCCCAGGTCCTTCATGAAGTGGGACTCTACTGTGAGCTACGGGGAGAACAACCCTGGGTCAGGTGCCTGCGGCCGTGCCCGTGCTCCCCCCCCGGGCCCCCACTCGCCTTCTCGGGGTCGATCTTGTCGTACAGCTTGAGGACGTAGAGGACGCGCTCCTTGATGTCGTCCAGAGTGAGGGGGGGCAGCTCGGAGAACCGGCGGCAGGGCGGCAGCGCCCGCGGCACCTGCGAGACACCGGCACCGGGCAGCGGGGGCAGCGCCGGCCGCCCCCCGCCCGCCCCGCTCCGCCCGGCTCGGGCCTTACCTGCGGCAGCGGCAGCAGCGCGGACGGGGCCGTTGGGGCCCGCGGGAGGCAGCGGGTGAGCGAGCGGAGCGCGGCGGGGCGCGGAGCGGCCGGGCCCGCCCGGGGCAGCAGGCGGCGGGCGCAGGCCGAGAGGACACGGGCCGCCATGGTGACCTGTTCCCAGCGTGCACCGCGCCGCTCCCGGCACACAGAGAGCCGCGCTGCGGCGGGGCGGGCCCACACGGGTGCTCCCCGTGGCGGCGGCCGCGCCCCCTGGCGGCCCGGAGGACCACCCGGTACGGCGCGGTGCAGCAGCAGACACGAGTCCGGTCTAAAGCCAAGTGGTTTAATGGCACCGCACACACCCGGGCGCACGCGCAGCCACACGAGACGCCCGGCACCGGAGGCTCCCCGCAGTGCTGCGTCAGGCCGCCCCAGGCTGAGGCTGCCGGTACCGGTAGAGGCAGACGGTGCCATCCTGCCGCCCGGCCAGCAGGCAGGCACCGGTGCAGGCATCCGTGATGGCCCAGCGGGCCAGTGCCCAGCCTCCCGCCGGGCCCGGGGGCAGCAGGGCCGTGCACTGGCCCAGGAGCAGGTCCCACACGGCCACGGCGCCCGATGTCAGCACGGCTGCGGCCAAGGCACCCCTCACGTCACCCTCCAGGTACCTGGGGACACAGACACAAGGGTCACACGTCTGCAAAAGCACCAGCGCATCACTTCTGAAACCAGCCAGTGTCCCAGCTACAAATGAACAGGGACACTTCAGCTGGCTGCAGGAAGCCAGGCTGCAGGATGGGTCACATCTGAGAACAAAGGATGCCAACGCAGCCCTCCCCAGCCACAGAACACGCTCAAAAACCACTCGAGATTTGGACCCGCTGGTGTCTGAGCACATCACCACAGCATCTCCTAATGGTTTAAACAGCTTCTTTCCAAAAGGAAGAGAAGAGGAAGAAAAGGTCACCCAGATGCACGCAGCTGCTTAGCATAAATAAAGGTGGCAAAGCCTCTCTAACAGCACAGCTCTGTGACAGCTCAAAGGTTTGGAACATCTCCTTCTCAGGGGGTTCCCCTGTGAGCCCAGTTCCAGCATTCCCACAATGACTGGTGCAGGGAAGATGAAAGCACAAGCACACAGAAACCTCACTGCAGAGCCCCAGGAGCACAGCCCCTCGCTGTGAGCCCAGGGTCAGCACAGAGGCTGGTGCAGGAAGCAGGCAGGAAACAGCCAACACCCTCACCCTGCTCCAGCCCCTGGAGCACACCCAAGGGCACAACGGATGCAGCCCCTTATCACTAGCAAGATGGCAAATGGATCCCTGCCAGCAGCACTGCCCAGCCCACGGAGAGATCCCCCCCAAACCACCACGAACGGCTCTGCTCCCAGAGCCCTGGTACCTGCCTTCCAGTGTGCCCGGGTGGGAGGGAGGAGGCCATCACCCCCCTGCTCCTGGCTGTGCTGGGGTTGAACACCACCACACGGAACGCTGGG